TGCAGTGAAACAATCATGGTTCACTGCAGCCTCAACCTTCCAGGCTCAAACGATCCTCCCACCTCTTCCTCCTGGGACTACAGGCATGTGCCACCATGACTGGATGATTTTTTGTAGAGACGTGGTCTTGTTATTTTGCACAGGCTGGTCCTGAACTCTTGGGCTCAAGCAGTCCTCCCTCTTTGGCCTCCTAAAATGCTGGGATTATAGGTGTGAATCAACACACCTGGCCAGAAAATATTCTTTGTTACAAGATGATGTATTTGACTCTCCTAAACAAAGGAAGCATGGTGGGTATTTAATAAGTGCCTAGACAGGTAAATTACAGGCAAAATCCTCACCCTGGAATATGAGTGTGTGCTTTTCCCAATATTTTCTCAAAGAATCAATTTTGTAGGACACGTGTTTTGTTCCTGACCGAAATGACAACTGAACTCCTGCTGAAGATACACCACACATGGGGATTTGATAAGTGGTTAACGCTTAGAAACCGAATTAAGGGACTGCTCCTTTCTCATCAGTATTCCGAAAACCATGATACTTATGTGGTCAGTGCACTAATAATCTTTGTGGTTGCTTCCTCAAGGATAAAATAAAATGGTCCCATTCAAAGGAATCATTAGCGTCATAAGTGGCAAAATCTGTGACTGTCTCGCTGCAGGGATGGAAGCAGAAGCAGCTCCCAACCAAGCCACTCACTGACAGCGGCTAAATGAGAGCCCTGGAAACAACGTGAAGAAGGAAGTCACACCTCAGTCTCTTACAGATGAATACCTGCTCTGAAATAGCATTAAATCTGACTGCGAAGGTTAAGCTGTTCCAGGGCATACACTTGGTAGAGTCACGCTAAGGCTTAATGGGATGTGACCAAGTATGGCTTTGGTGGGGGGTGGAGGAGGAGGAGGTAGCTTACAGGGTTACATCTGCAGCATGGCCAGCTGTTCTGCACTGTGTTCAAAGGAAAATGGTTTAGCTGAAGTTTACGCTGCATGGGATCTAGAAAAGAGAAAGCTGCTAAAAGAAGGAAAAACGGGTTGCCTATTTCCAGCACTCTTGTAACATCATCTTGCAACATAGCATGTTTACCGACCAGGCATGGTGGCTCACACCTGTAATCCCCACACTTTAGGATGCCAAACAGGGAGGACTGCTTGAGTCCAAGAGTTCAAGAGTTCAAGACAAAGGGAATTCTGACCTTGAACCTTGAGTGTTCGGGACCCTTGGCAATCATTTACCCAAGATGGAGATGACTCTACTGGCTTAATGGCCTTGCTAAGACCCCATGCTCAGCCAATGGTTTCTTGCTTATGAAGTTGCTACTCAGTAGAACCTTCCTTAAGGAGAGAACGTATTAGCCAGAACATTCTGGGTTTCAGTTCTCTTTGACTTTGGGTTTCCCTGTAATTTATAATTTGGTGTTTTGGCTCACACATCAGTCTCTTGTGGGTCAGCATCTCTGGGCCCACTGGCAAAATTGAGTTGCTAGACCTGACCATGACAGTCAGGCCATGGACTGCAGTGACCAACCAAGGAACTACTCTTCTATGGCTGGAAGACATCTGAGTGGTTTTAGAGAGCTCCTCAAAGGAGTGTTGCGCAATCTTATGTGCATAGTCTTATGAATATCTGACCTTAAAACTAGCAGGATATGTTAGCTTGGATTTCTGGGGTGAGAACCAACTACAATCAGCTGTGATTGTCTTATTTCTTTGCTCTCAGTTGTGTCTAATCTTGATGACCTCACACGTGAAATGGCAAATAGAGTCTGCACAGTTGATGGGTCTGGACCTGGTGACTCACATCTGAAATCCCAGCGCTTTGGGAAACTAAGGCGAGAGGATTGCCTGAACCCAGGGGTTTGAGTCAAGACCTTGTCTCTAAAATAAATTTAAAAATTAGCTGGATGTGGTGGCGTGCACCTGTAGTTCTAGCTACTTGGAAGGCTGAGGTGCAAGGATTGCCTGAGCCCAGCAGGTCAAGGCTGTGGTGGCTGTGAGCGTGCCACTGAACTCCAGCCTTGATGACAGAGTGAGACTCAACTAAAAAACTTCTTATCTGAAGAATGTGGGCTCCTTTAAATTATCAGGCCCTGAGAGGCATTTAAAATGTAAGGACAGTTACTTCTTACACTTCCTTGAAGTGAATAATCTCCTCTTGAAGTCACTTGTTATGTGGGCTCTCTACTAACTGGGCTGTGTAGCCACAAAATACCACACACCCTGTAGTTCAACAGCGGATAGCCAGTCACTGACCAACATCATTTCTGTAAACCAATGAGAATTCTGACAAACAGATTTTGTAATCACCTCCTCTCCTGATTTGTCCTTTTTGTTTACAAACCTATGCTGTTGGTAGTCGAGTAAGCTAGTTCAACCTCCATGGAAAGCAGTGTGGCGATTTCTAAAAGAACTAAAAATTGCCCTTCCATACGATCCAGCAATCCCTCTCCTGGGAATATACCCACAAATCGCTCTACCAAAAAAAGACACCTGCACACACATGTTTATTGCCACACTATTCCCAATAGCAAAACATGGAACCAACCCTGTTGCCCATGGAGAGTGGACTGGATAAAGAAAATGGGGTACCTATACACGATGGAGTATTACGCAACCATAAAGAACAAAATCATGGCCTTTGCAGCAACTTGGATGCAGCTGGAGGCCATCATTCTAAAGTGAACTATCACAGAAACAAAGAACTGAATACTGCATACTTTCACTCACAAGTGGGCCCTGATCGCTGGTCACAGGAGCTCCAGAGAGGGATTGGCAGACACTGGACATTGCTAGGGGAGGGAGAGGTGGCGGGGGAGGGGAGGCATGTGACAACACGCTGGGTACCTGCTCCCCTACCAGGGGGAGAGAGAGCCCGTTAGAAGCCCAAACCTCACCCACCTACAGCCTACTTATGTAGCAAATCCTCACTTGCACCCCACAACCCTAACGTTAATAAGTAAATAAATAAGCAAACAAACAGATACATAAAACAATAAAACAAAAACAAAAACCCAGCCACTTCTCTGTTCTGGTGAGAATTCTCCAAGACAGCCTGGTCCCGTGTCCCAGGTGCTCGACCATGGCCCAAGTCAACGCTATTTATTTTGCCTCAGTTTCCCTCTTTCAGGCGGACATAATTATAATACTTTAAAGATACGTTTTTCATTAATTGTTCATCTCTTAAGTGATAAAGGGCAGAACTCAAATCTCAGGGGTATGGAGAACCCAGGAGTACCACCAAAATCATTTAGGAAGCTACGGAAAGCAGTGACCGGAAGCCACACCTTGGGATCTTGCTTCCTTTAATTATTGAATGATAATATTTCAGGTTGGCTTCACGAACAAATTACACATGAGTAGTCCGTTTGACCATGTATGACCACGCATGTGGATTTCGGCACTACATTTTAAGCTTATCAAGGTGCTTGATCTGCAAAATGTTATAGAATTTGAATGCAGGTTCCGGGATCCAGTCATTACGAACAGCAACTTGCTCAGAAAAGTATGTAGCAATTACAATTGCTCACATGGAATTAAGAATCTCCCTCCATTATTTCTTTCATGTTTATTCTTTATTTCTATTTTTTTTTTTTGAGTACGAGTCTCACTGTCACCCAGGCTGGAGTGCAGTGGCACGCTCACGGCCACTGTAGCCTTCATCCACTGGGCTCAGGTGATCCTTCTCCCTCAGTTTTCCAGGTAGCTGGAACTACAGGCAAACACCATCATACCCCAGCTAAATTTTTAAAAAAATTATTATGGAGATGAGATTTTGCCAAGTTGCCCAGGTTGGTCTCAAACCCCTGGGCTCAGGCAATCCTCTCAACCTCATCCTCCCAAGTGCTGGGATTACAGACAGAACCACCGCACCTGACTTATTTATTTTTGAGTCAGGGTCTCACTCTGTCACCCAGGCTGGAGTGCAGTGGTATGATCCTGGCTCACCACAGCCTCTATCTCCTGGGCTCAGGCGATCCTTCTGTCTCAGCCTCCCGAATAGCCACCATGCCCAGCTATAATCTGATCTTTTTGTAGAGACGAGGCCTTGCTGTGTTTCCCAGGCTGGTCTAGAACTCCCGGGCTCAAATAATCCCACTGTGGCCTCTCAAAGTACTGGGTTTACAGGCATGAGCTACTGAACCTGACCCTTTTTCTTTCTTTCAAGCAAAGTCACAAACAAATGTTTTATCTTCCTGCCTTGCTATTTTGCCCCGGTACTGGTGATGTCTAGGTGCTCGAAAAACTACTCACAGTTACAGAAGAAAGAAGAACATAAAAGACTGTTTGCACTATTCACAATAGCAAAATCATAGAACCAATTTAAGTGCCCACCAACAATTAATTGAATAAAGAAAGTGAGGTATATATACACCTGGAATACTTTGCAGCCATAATAAAGAATGAAATCAAGTCCTTTGCAGCAACACGTGTGGAGCTGGAGATCATGTGCTAAGTGAACTGACTCAGAAACAGAAAGCCAAACTCCGCATGCTCTCATTCATATGCAGGAGCTAAATGGTCACAGAGAAGGAAATAATAGACACTGAGGACACCAATAAGCAGGGAGGTAGGGGAGGAAACTGGGGTCTGGAAATTACCTATGGGGTGCAACGTTCACTTATCTGAGAAATGGGTCACCTGAGACCCAATCAAGCCTAGCAACCCATGATCCTTCAGTTCATTTTCCCCTCATCTAAACAAACCTTATTCAATATCCCCTGTTTACGGATCACTAAATCTGGACCAAGTGTGGTGGCTCACTTCTGTAATCCCAGCACCTCAGAAGGCCGAAGCAAGAGGACTGCTTGAGCTCAGGAGTTCGTGACCAGCCTGGCCAACATAGTGAGACCCTCCTCTCTGCAAAATGTCCACAATATGCCCATAAAACGAATTTGCATGTGCACCCCCTGAAACTAAAATAAAAATGAAAAAAAAATTAAGCCGGATTTGTTTTTCAAGTGTTGGGCGGAAGTGTGAGAAGAAGACAGGAAACGGACTTACCATCATCACGGTCAGCCAGGATAGTCACTCTGGTGCTGGGGAATCTGGCTCCCAGCCGCCCTCCCATGGGCAGCCTCAGGGAGACAGTGAAGGATTCGTCCTCTTCATAAAGGGCATCGTCGATGACCAGGACCCGACAGGTCTTCTCTGTCTCTTCCTTGTCAAAGTGGAGGATGCTGGTGTGATCTTCCGGGCGTGAGACATAGTCAGAGAAGGATAATGCTGTGGAGGGAATCGTACCTGTAGCAGAACCTACAGGAATGTGAGAAGGAACAGGGGAGGTGAGAAGAAATGGCGTCCTACCCTGGGAGCCTGTCCCCTACTGGCATTTCAACTTGCTTTTACTAACAGCCATCTGAATGATAAGGCACACTTATCTCTTACTTTCACAGATACTAATATTGTAATCAGGAAGCTTTCAGAGTAGTCTCTGGTATTAACATGATCTGGATTTAGTGATCTTTGTGCTGCTTTTTTTCTTTTGAGTTGGGGTCTCACTCTGTCACATAGGTTGGAGCGCAGTGGCACGATCACACTTCACCGCAGCCTTGACCTCCTAGACTCAGGTGATCTTCCCACCTCAGCCTCCTGAGTAGATGAATACAGATGTGCACCACCATGCCTGGGTAGTTTTTGTATTTTTTGAAGAGATGGGATCTCACTATGTTGGCCAGGCTGGTCACGAATTCCCGGGCTCAAGTAATCCTCTTGCTTCGGCCTTCTGAAGTGCAGGGATTACAGAAGTGAACCGCCATGGCTGGCCCAGATTTAGTGATCCTTAAACAGGGGATATTGAATAAGGTTTGCTTAGATGAGCGGGAAAAATGAACTGAAGGATCATAGGATGCTAGGACGTTACCGATGGGAAAACAGAGGTGAAGAGAAATTAGGACTGGAGAGTCCATACATAGCATGATAACCATATAGAGTTTCCCCCACTTCTGCTCTGTGGCATAGCTGTGAGCAGCAACTATGTAATCTGACCACACCCTGATTAGAACTCCTTGTATGACAACATAATACAGCCACAGAATTACTTGCTGTTTTACAAGGAGTGCAGGACTGATTGGAGGATTTCAGTTTGGGTTCAGTGGGTGATACATTTTATTACAATAATTAACTTACATTAAAATTCACAAATGTAAATGCACAACTCTCTGTTTTTATTTTAGCTGGAGTCTCACTCTGCCACCCAGGCTGGAGTGCAGTGGCACGATCATGGCCACAGCAGCCTCGACATGACAGACTCAGGAGATCCTTTTGCCTCGGCCTTCTAAGTGGTTGAGACTGCAGGTGTGTATCATCACGCCTGGCTATTTTTTTGATTTATTGTAGATATGAGGTCTTACTCAGTTGCCCAGGTTTGCCTCGAACTCCTGGGCTCAGGCAATCCTCTTGCCTCAGCATCTCTAAGTGCTGGGATTACAGGCGTGAGCCCACCGTGCCCACTGGAAAGGCACAATTTTATGAGTTTGGACAAATGCGTATAATCATGTAACCACCACCACAATCATAATAGAGAACATGTTTATCCACCCACAAAAGTTGACTTGTACCTCCTACAAACTGTGTCTCCTTTCTTGTCTTGCAGCCCCTGGAAACCTGAGATCGGCCTTTTGTCACTGCTGGTTGATTTGCCTTCATGAGAATTTCACGTAAGTGGGATCACACAGTCCTGAGTCTTTTTGCTTCTGGAGTCTCTCATTTAGCACATGCTTTGAAGATTCATCCATGTGTCATAATTTTGCTCCCTTTTTGTGGCTGACTACTAGTCCCCACTGTGCGGCTATACCAGAGTTTGTTTAATCCATTTACCAGTTGATAGTTTGGGCTGTTTCTAGTTCTTAGCTATTTTGAATATGCTGGTATGAATATTCTAGTACCAGTCTTTGAGCAGGTATATAATTTCATTTCTCTGGAGTAAATAGTTAGGAGTAGGATTTGGGGGATTTGGTGAATTTTTTGCAGCATTAACAATAGTAACCACATAGGTATAGAGCCAAAAGGGTGAAAAGTGTCAGGATAATTTTTTTTTTTTGAATTAGAGTCTCACTCTGTTGCCCAGGCTGGAGTGCAGTGGCATGCTTACAGCCACCCCAGTGTCGATCTGCTAGGCTCAGGTGATCCTTTAGCCTCAGCCTTTCAAGGAGCTGGAACTATAGGCGCGTGCTACCACACCTGGCTAATTTCTTATTTATGGTAGAGACGAGGTCTTGCCAAGTTGTCCAGGCTGGTCTCAAACCCGCGGGCTCAGGCGATCCTCTTGCCTCTGCCTCCCAAAGTGCTGGGATTACAGGCTTGCATCACTGCGCCTGACAATGGTAGTTTCAATGTTCAATGATTTAGGTAGACCAGATTGAGGCAGAACAAAGATTATAAAATAACCGGTATATAGATAAGAAGTTTTTTGAAAAGTACAGAGATGTCCTACCACACCTCGTTTGTTTTTGAGTTGAAATCTTGCTCTGTCCCCCAGGCTGGAGTGCAGTGGCACGCTCAAGGTCACTGCTGCCTCTACTTGCTGGGCTCAGACAATCCTTCCACCTCAGCCTCCCGAGTAGCTGGAACTATAGGTGCATGCCACCATTCCCGGCTAATTTTTTTATTTATTGTAGAGATCAGGTCTTGCCAAGTTGCCCAGGCTGGTCTCGAACCCCTGGACTCAGGCAATCCTCTTTCCTCTGCCTCCCAAAGTGCTGGGATTACAGGAGCGAGCCACTGCACCTGGCCATTCACACCTCATTTTAATAAGAAGCAATAGGACTATGATAGTAGGATTCTGGACTGGATGCTCAGATCCTGCAAGGTCTTTCCTGCCTATAATGATGGTACATGCGCACATGCCTGGTAAACATCCACGTTCACTGTCTTCTAAACATAACTACAAGGTGAAGTCCATCACCGTGTGCTATGTGTGTAGATACAGGTTGTTAAGAAATGAAAGTGCGCCGAGCTCGGTGGCTCAACCTGTAATCCCAGCACTTTGGGAGGCCAAGATGAATGGATTGCCTGAGGTCATGGGTTTGAGACCAGCCTGGGCAACTTGGCGGGCCCTTGTCTCTACAATAAATAAAAAATCAGCCAGGCATGGTAGTAAGTGCCTGTAGTTCTGGCTATTTGGAAGGTTGAGGCAGAAGGATTGCCTGAGCCCAGCAGGCTGATGCTGGGGTGGCCGTGAGCGAGCCACTGCACTCCAACCTAGGCAAGGGAGTGAGACTCCAACTCAAAAAAAAAAGGAAATGAAGGTGGTCTCCAAGTGACTTCAGAGGCACTGACTTACCAAGTGTTTCAGGATGTTTTCTCGAAAGAACAACTTTTAGGATTATGAGGGAGTAACAAATTGTTTTGTTATTCTGGGAACATGAAAAAGATTTGAGCTGGAGAGTGGATGAGACTAAAACATGTTCACTAGGGCAGAGTGATGGTTCATTTCTATTTTTGATAGGAATGAACAGGCATAAGAGGAACCATCACTTGCGGGGAGGCAGGCCGAGTTTCAGGGCAGGTCTGCGCTCCAAAACCTTGTTCCTTCCTGATGTTTCTTCCTAGGAAAACCTGCGCATGAAAGAGTTCTCTGAACTCAAGTCAACCAGGGCCCGCTGGTTCTGGGGATGTCACACCCAAGTGCTGTCAATAAATGCCAGGGGCGGACACGAAATGGGGAAGGAGGTGAGTGACTAGCAACGTATAAGGGCTCACAGATAAGCAGGGACACTGTCAGGAAGACTTTCTGTGTTCCAGGACACACAGCACACGCAGAGGGAAATAATGCCATGTCTTAAGCTCTTAAAACAATCTGATTAAATAAAAACAAACTTTGGAATGCCTTTTTAAAGAGTCAGAGGTCTAAAGAGGACTATACCTTTTAAAACATACTTTTAAATTTTATGAATTAACTTATTTGTTTTGATCAGAGTCTCCTTCTGTTGCCCAGGCTTGGGTGCAAGAGGCACTACCACAGCTCAATACAGCCTCGACCTCCTGGGCTCCTGCGAGCCTTCCACCTCAGCCTCCCGAGTGGCTGGGACTACAGGTGTGCACCACCATGCCTGGCTCATTATTTAATTTTTTTGTAGAGACAAGGTCTCACTATGTTGCTCGGGCTGGTCTCAAATTCCTAGGCTCAAGCAATCCTCCAGCCTTGACCTTCCATACTACTGATTACGGGCATGGGCCACCATCCAGTCACATTTTTAAATTTTGCCTCATCATTAAGTATACAGAATGTTGGCATGACAGGAGGTTTGTGATGAAGGATCCTTGCCAGAAACTGCATGTTCAGCACCTCAGAATACATGCCAATAGCAGAAACTGTACTCACTAGACTTGCATCATATGTGTCTAATAATGTCTTCATCACATATAATTGTATAAAGTCTCTTAATATATTTCACCTAATGAATATTCAAATAGTGATTTTTCCATGGCTCATGCAAAAGTGATTAAATTTTCCTCTTTTTTCTTTTTTTTTCTGTTTAATTTTTGTAGCTGCCCAATCCACTGGTTGAAATAGACATGGCATTTAGGTAGATTTCTGGATTAAATGAAAGACTGAAATAGAATTCTTTTTTTTTGAGTTGGAGTCTCACTCTGTCGCCCAGACTGGAGTGCAGTGGCCACTCCCGGCCATGCAGCCTCGACCTGCTGGGCTCTGGCGATCCTTCCGCCTCAGCCTTCCAAGTAGTTGGAACTACAGGCATGCGCTACCATGCCTGGCTAATTTTTGAATTATTGTAGAGATGAGGTCTCGCCAAGTTGCCCAGGTGGGTCTCGAACCCGCGGGCTCAGGCAATCCACTCACCTCAGCCTCCCAAAGCGCGGGATTACAGGCTGAGCCACCGAGCCCAGCTAAAATAGAATTCTTGCAAATCATTTTGGCCTGGGCACGATGACTCACAGCTGTAATCCCAGCACTTTGGGAGGTAGAGACGAGAGGATTGCCTGAGTCCAGGGGTCTGAGACCAGCCTGGGCAACTTGGTGAGACCTCGTCTCTACAATAAAAAAATTAGCTAGGTATGGTGGCATGTGTCTATAGTTCCAGCTACTTGGAAGGCTGAGGCAGAAGAATTGCCAGAGCCCAGCAGGTGAGGCTGTGGTGGCTGTGAGCGTGCCACTGCACTCCAGTCTGGATGACAGAGAGCCCCCAATACACACACACACAGCACACACACAAAAGAAAGAAAGAAAATCATTTGGCTGTGAAACGCTTCTAAAATGGAAAGAAAACAATACATTTTAGCAAGATTTTTAA